GTTTTATATCTCACGCGAAAAATAGTAAATATATCAAATTCATTTCATCACTGATTCTATAGGTCTCAAATGAAGGCAGAAAAATTCCTGCGCTGCTTCATAACAGTCATCAGTTGGCGAGCCGAGGTGCATCGGTAGTCAACCGAACAAGAGTTTCCCAAAAAGCCAAACATCGCATGTGGAGATTCTGGGGCCGTCAGTATATAAGCGAGTGCGTATCTAAAGCGCACCAACGGAAAACGAAACAGGCTTTGAGTTTGCAGTCATCAATATCACTTAAAAATGCTGTTAATCTATTAATACAATTTTCAGAATTACTAGGAGAGTGACCATAGGGCGATGCAGCACTGGTCCGAGCAACTGGAAGGTTGTCAGTTGCACATTTGCAGGAGTAGGCGAAAACGGTAGAAGCTATTAATAATAAAAATGATAGCTGCTCAACAAAAACGACAGACCTGCGCAAATGACCGGATCCGGTCTTTGGTATTTGTATGGCTCTGCCGAATGAGCTCTTCTCGAGAGCAACTTTTCACTCCGTTTCAGTGTCTGCCTGGAACAACATCGCAGTTGCTTTGTTGGTGCACTTGTCGCTTCATCTGCAATGATAGAATATGTGTTGCTGCTAAGATGATTATTATTTGGCCACGACCCGTGGAGAACCTCAAGTTCAGCCAGGATTTTTGCCAAGCCAGAGACGCGTTGATAAAACAGATACACTTAATAAAATGACCTATCTATCCAGAAGCAATACTGCGGGACCTAAAATGCGGCACTTTTTTAGCAAATCAGATTTATGAGTGTGTTTTTTATTCGTTTTTCAACACAATTTCTCATTAGGTTCCGAGATCTGGAGCTAGTCGGCGAGAGACATAACTTCTCACTTTTGAGACCCAATTGAGAAACTTTTTTTTTTACATACATATGACTATAATATCGCTCATATCACTAAATTCCGAATTTGAAAACTCTTTCATCGACTAGCTCCAGAGTCTCGGGACTCAATTTTTCGCGTTCGTTTTGCGCTGTGTAACAGCAGTACAAAACGCACATTGTCACGGGGTTTTCTGTGTGTGTTTGTTTGTGTGTGTGTGTGTGTCCGCAGCAACTTGTCCGCAACTTTCAACTCGAGAACCACAAAAGCTAGGAAAGCGCTGAATAGGGTAACGTTTCCCACCCACGTGTGACCCCACAAATTTAAATTCAGCTTCCCCGTACCCACGGGTAACGTGTACGGCCAACTTTCCCTACCCAAGTGTGACTCCGCAAATTTAAATTCAGCTTCCCCGTACCGGCGGGTAACACGCACGGCCCCGTAAAAGTTTTTTACGGGTAAACTAATATCTCGGGAACCACAGAGTCAAGGAGGCTGAAATTTTAGGATAATGACCCCCTGCCCAAGCACAATCTTGTCCATTCAAATTTACCGTTCCCCTCACCCTCGGGTACCACCTACAGGCTAGTGAAAATTTTTACGGGTAAATTATTATCTCGGGAATTACGGGGTCCAGGAAGCTGAAATTTTAGGGTAATGACCCCCCGCCCACGGCCAACCTTGCCCATTCAAATTCAGCGTTCCCGCGTCCTTAAGTATCACGTACGGCCTCGTGAAAATTTTGGCGGGTAAGCTATTAACTCGGGAATCACGGAAAGATATTCACCCTTCAAGGTTTCAAATTCTGCTTTCATGCGCTGGTGCGTGAAATTTTTAACTGTTTTCCAATGTTTCAACTATTTTTGCACAGGCTAAAGTACAAAGCAGTGAAAATCATTAATAGGCAATCGTTCGATGGACTGAATTGCAGAAAACGCATGATCGCACCGGCTAGTCTGGTGCGCGTTGCTATTTATTTATTTTTTTTCACAAAACGCGTCGAACTGGTGCTTCTGGTCCATTTACTGGAACAAAGAGAAGATAGCTGAGCTATAGCTAAACAAGGTGGAGAGCGAAGTTCAACAAATTCGAGCTTTTTCCCCAAAAGTGAAGCTGAAACACCGTTAAAAGCAAACACACGAACAGGTGAGGCATCAACACGAGATGTTTTCGCAAAAATGCAAGAAGGACGAAAAAAAGGACTAACCATGCGCTTCGTAGCATTCATCCTGCATCACCAAATCCAAATCGTTCACATCGGCCGTGTCAGCTTGGCTGTTCTGCATATACACAATGCTACCATCGTTTGGGACAACTCGAGCTGGACTGCAATCCAAATTGTTGTTCTTCTCGCTATTTTTGTTGGCTCCACGCGATGCGTCGTCCACCAGTTCACTGCTGATGCTATCGTTTTCACCTGTATTCGCTGACGATGACAGTGATGACGATGATGATGATGATGATGGCGATGGTGATGATGGTGGTGATAAAGCTGACGGTGATGATGGTGA